CTCCTTTGTCTCTTCTTTATACTAGAATAATCAAGAACGTCAAGAATCATGATCCGTATCTTGATACAGGCATCACAATTCAATATAAAACAGATAAAGCTAAAGCTACATTTGTAATAATATGGTACGGTGCAATTCAAAATGAGTTCAATTAAATACAGCTGGATAAATAAAGTATGTGTTTAAGCTGGACAATTAAAAAGTGAGTGTAAAGCAGCTTTGTATTTCAAGCAACAAAAATCAAATGCATCAGTCATGATGTCTGCTATCTTCAACAACAGTACTCTAGTGTCGTTATGCTCAAAGAAGACAACTCGACACCATATCAACCTTTCAATGCCTCACTTCACTATGGCAAAAATCGCGTGACCACCCCATACGAGGCCTCGTTACATTACACGAGTATCAGAGATGTGTGGTTTTAAATACTGCATATGAACGTCTCATTCTGCACAGTATTTAAAGACTGAATTGTAGAGTTGTTTAAAAGTGATCAATTTTCATAGTGCACACTTTATTAAACAAAATAATAATAATAATCAGTATGAATGCTTATATTCTCTTTCCTCATGGTTTCAGATTTACTTCACCCATACAAATGCAGTATCAAGGATTTGGACAGAAGATGTTGCTATTTGTTACAGTGTCAGGGCATTTTTCCTTTATTTATTAATATTTACAAAGTGTGTCTCTGAGAGGTGAACAGGGGAGACGGGGCAGGACCTGTGACATAGGTCACCAGTCCAACTCAATCCTCCGACGTTGCGCACACACTGTGGTGTATGGTGCGCTGCACCTTAATGTGGGTATCAAGGTGCCCAGCGAACCACTTTCAACACAGCTGTCTCATACTGATTCAGTGCCTCAGAAAGCCTAGTTTTATCCACCACTCTAGTAAACAACGGTCACTCATGAACAGTCAAATTGTGCACTAGGTCCACCTGCTGCTTCACCTTATCATACAGTGGTAAATGGTTTCATATAGCGTTTTTCTACGCATTGATGCACAAAGTGCTTTACACAATTTCACATTTACCCACACAAATGCACACACTGGTGACATCACTGGTGGCAACTAGGGGTTCGTGTCTTCCTCAAGGATACTTCAACATGTGCACTGGAGAAGCCAGTAATCGAACTGCCAACCCTCTGGTTAAGAGACGACCTATGCTATGCTCTACCTGCTGAGCCACAGCCACCTCCAAAGTGCTAGGATGCTTTTTTTTTTTTTCCACTGAAATACTGCAGACTGGTTATTGTCTACCTCAGCTCCAGAGTCAGTATCATTCTTTAAATCCCACATCAACAACAATATACGGGAGCATGTCCTTGCAAATGAAGCTTATAGTTTCTGTTACTGCCTTCCAACCTGGTGGAAATATCGGCAAATGTGCTGACAGTAGCTGCTAACATTAGCACTGATAGTGGCCTTAATTTGAGTGCTCCCACAGCTCACTGTACTGTAAGCAGCATGTATTCCTCTGATTCAACACTGTTACTTTCTTAAGTCTCCTGGTATACTTGATGCACAATGCAACTGTTAACAAGAATCACTGCACTTTGTTTGCAGACTCCAGTATTCAAAAAGAGCTTCATCATGCCCACAAACACATTGAGCAAGTCAACATCACAGGAATAATGTTTAGTGTGTTGTTGTGGGTGGCTTTCCCATTGACTTGCTTTACTCTGCTGTAAAATAACAGTAAAACCACCCTGGCAGCCCAAAGTCTGGTATCGAAAACTGGTGGCAGTAAAAACATTTTCCAGATGCTGACCCGCTTCCCAGAGTCATAAAAGTTTGAAGGTGTTCATAATTGCTAACACACCTGTAACAGTCTGGGCTCATGTTCCTTGGATGTTTATATCTGGGCCCCCTCTTTTTCCTCTCCTCTTGAAGGCTGAAATAGTCACATGTTTTTCATTTAACTGTTTTGCTGTTAAACTTTGGTCTTTGCTTTTTTGCTAGAGAGAAATACTGGGGACAATACCAATAAACAGCAAGTTATAAGAACTGCTCTGGGGAAGAACAACAGCTCTCTGACTTAACAATCAAGGTTGAAATCAACCCAAAAGCAGCTCAACATCAACAGCTGTTGAACACACTGGGTGTATTGCATTTTATTATTAAAAATCCCTTGGCCTTTCTGCTTTGGAAACTTCTCCCATACTTTTTGGCCATTTACAGCCATTTTGTTTTTTTTATTAATTTCTGTTGGTTTTGTCATATGTTCATCATATTTGCTGTTATTTATTGATGCCATTGCCTGTACAGAACTTTATAACTCAAGAAAAAGGTCTGATACAAATTAAACCAGAGACACATTGCATAAAGATGAACAGCTGACACGTGTTCTCACAAAATGTTCTCACATATCTTAACAGGATCAATGCTCTGGTTAGAGTTCACTCAGACCTCCGAGAACAGAACCTGCTAACCTTCTCTATCATTGTTAGCGTTTTCATTCTGTTCATCAATCAATCAAGTCAACTATGACTTCACGTTTAGTTGGCTACCAAACGTGGACTCCTAAGAAGAAGCTGATTTATTTGACTTTCAGACACTTTCATTCTATTACCTGGGGCAGCAACTCACTCTCAGTCTAAAAGAGGGCCAATTTACTATTTATTTATAGCAGAGTACTCTGGCCTCAGACTTGGTGTAATCCTCATTCTGGATATTTCCCACTTGGAGCTAGGAGCTGAGTCTGTAAATGCAACTCACAATTAACCAGTCAGTCAGTCTAGATTCCAGCCATCACCTGTGGTCATAAGGTCTGAATAATAACATTAAAAATGATACCACAGACATGTATGACCTAAATGAGTTTCCCCAGCGGAATAAACACATATGTTAAGGTGGAAATGTTACATTGAATGGCATACAATTGTACAGGTGTACTTAATAAAATGGCCAGTGAGTGTATATCCTATCTGGTCAGGGACTATTCAAGAATGTGACTGGGGAGGTTGACAGCTAGGCTACCTGGGCCACTGGCCAATATTTCGATTCTCCGTCCCCACAATCTTCAAGCCTTTTTCCCACAGAGATCCTGGTGTATTACTGTTAAGTGGAGCTTTCAAAATCAAACAACCCTGGTGGGGGGTTGGAGAAATAACATCACAGGGCACCCACAGGCCCAAGCACCTCTTTCCTTTTACCCAGATGCCAAGCCAGCATGAGGCAGCAATTTTTCTACATCCGTTCCTGGAATAATGCAGGATTAGAAATGCCCTCCATGTTCATACCTTTTATACAGAAATGTTGGGTGACAAAACGCCATCATGACCAAGCAAGAGCTATCAGCAGATCTGGATGCAGCACAAGGTCTCTAGTGCCCAGTTTTGGCCAAACTCCAAGCTCCATTCAGTTCCAGCCAGGGACCAAGGACTATAAAACTGAATATACTAGAATGTACTTGACTATATGCATGCACAAGCATTCTGACTTTTTATTAAACAAATACACAAACAAACAAAAACGTATAAATTCATAAGACAGCTGCAAAGAGGATGAACACACAATCAGTGCATAATACCTGTTCACATTACTTCAGACCAACAGCCACAATAAAAAAATTCCCTCCTGGATATTACTGCTGGAGTTTGACACACAGATGGGTGACAAACACCAGAAGAACATAAAAGCAAGAAGAACTCAGTACCCGTGCTGTATAGTGGCAACATACAGACAGTGAAAGTTAACATAGAACCATCAAGCCTTCCTGTGTGCTCGTTGTAGACTGGTAAGGCGTCCACTACAGCAGCTCTTGGTCATAGATTCTGCAAGTTTTAGAAACTCTACTGGAGAATGAACACTATTCTTCAAAAAGATAATCCCTCCTTAGTTGTTTTGATGATGGTGGCAGAGATTATCTCTTTAAAGACCCCTAAAACTTCTTCAGTGGCCATAAAAACACCAATTAACTCTCTCAATTACCACTAAAACATACTAAAGGACAGCAAGTAACTCCTCAGGGGCTATCTACATCTGACAGACTGTACAACCTCCTTTAGATTTTCTAAATAATGTGCAGAATTATGAATTATGGATAACCCAAGATAAGGTGTTAGTAAGTAGATGTTCCACCAATGCTCTTCAAAATAGTTTCAGTGCTCCTTGCCTCAGATTCTCTAAATCTGCAGAACTCCAGTGAAGAGATAAACAGCTTTCTACCAAAAAGATATTCTCTCATTTAGTGTTTCAATGATGGGGTTTGAGAGTGCTGTCTAATACATCACCCCAAAACCTCTTTAATCATCGAAAATGACCCCTAAAATTTTATAAAAGCCCACTTGAACCTCTTAAGGAATCTAAAGAACCTCTTTAAAGAGCCCTAAAACTTCCCCAGTGCCCATTAGAACCTCATAAAGTACCCTTCACCTCCCTCAATTACCACTAAGCCCACTAAAGTATACCAAGAAACTCCACAGGGACCATCTACATCTGTAAAAGACTCTACAGCCTCCTTTAAATTCTCTAAATAATGTGCAGATGGGTACTGAATTAAAGGATAACCCAAAATAACAGTTTCATTAGTTCATAATTTGCAGGAAGTGAAGGTACTGAGTAAGACCAAGCTTAATGTGAAACACTAGTTACTCTGAGGGGAGAAAGCAAAGCAGATTTGACCACTGGTCAGTTTGAAGTACTTGGAGAAATTCTAGCCTATAATCAGCCCACTGGCTGCTAAATGTGTCATCTGACCAACAGCGGAGACAAAAACAGAACCAGTGAAGAAAAAAAAATTCGTCCAGCCAAATGAAAGCTGGGTAGATTAATAAAAGTCATTACTGTGCGGCCCGGCAGAGACCACAGACATTCACCCTTGAGAAAACACACAGTGTGGTTGTCAACTTTTAATTTTTCTGCTTTCTCTGCAATTTTTGCTGTGAATGTTTTTTCCTGTACACATGTAAGGGACATTTAACAGAAGAAAAAAACGTAGGTCTTTGTCTTTTTCCATAGGTGTCTCTTTTAGTGTCTGTCGCTTTCTGTACATCCTGTCTGTGTGTGTCTCTCTCTCAGTAGATGTGTAGTGGGTGGCCAGGGAAGGGTTAAGTGCTCCGTCCGAATAAACTCTGCTCAAACAGTCTGCTGGAAGCTACTGGTTCAGCCTTTATATACAGTCACTTGACAAATCCCAACAGGGGTTTGTAGCTGAGAGCAGCTGCTGACCCAAACTCGGGCTTTAAAAAGGCAAGCTGGTGCACTGGCATCATCACACTGCTTTGGACAGCATGAAGGCACTCTTACTGACCTGTATGCTGGTGCCGTGGCTGGCGGCTGCCTCGGCCAGAAGGTCTGACCAGGACACACAGATGATACCAGGATCTATACCTGGCAGGGGGCTGGACAGATACTTCAGTGACCATTTAAAATCAAGGAGGGCTAGGGTAAGAACTTTTATATCTTCAATAATTCAAAAATGCATTTGTTTAAAATTTACTAACATTTCATGGATTGTTCAATATTTAACACATTTTGACAAGAAGTCCAGTGTCATCAAGTAAACCATTTTGATCAGTAATCACTTTATGCCATTCACTTGCAGCATGGGTTCCAGAAGGCAATCTTTACAGTTATTATAATTCTAAGCGATTTATTGAGGTAATACAGATACATTTATGAACTCAAATAAAATATGCAATCCTCTGTACTCAATTAGATTAAAACAGGGAGGGTAAAAAACGATGACAAGGGGTAAGATAAGACTTTACTAATCCCAAAGAGAGGAGGAGGTCATGCTTAACAGTTGGTAATATTCAGGATTAATAGTCCAGCCACATTATTCTAAAAGCTAAAAATCCACTTCATTGTTTAGTTAGTTCATTTTTTCTCCTATGTGGTGATGACAGAAACTGTCAGCACTGTAACACCTGTAATTCATTTCAGCTCTATTTCAAGACACACACACTACAGTTGCACAGCTATCTCTGTGAGGACACTCATTGACATAATGCATTCCCTAGTCCCTTTCTCTAACCTTATCCATCACAACTAAATGCCTAAATCTAACCCCTATCCTAACCTAAACCAATTCTAACCTGAACCCCAAAAAAGTCATAACCATCAAACAGCCCTTTGAAAGTGTATCACAACATGAGGACAAGCAAAAAATGTCCTCACTACTACGTTATAAAACTCATAAAAGAACATAGAAAACAAACACACACCCCTTCCTGTGTCTCACTTGCTCTTACACCAGACAAACTCAACCCTGAAACCACTACAGTAATCTTCAACTAACCACAATAACCCCTTCAAGAAATATTTGGATGCACCAAAACCAAACTCTGGTCTGGTTCATCCTTTGGGAAACACTTGCAGAAAGAGAAAAACCCACAAACAATCCGCAGAAGGAGAGAGACAGAAATAAATGAGAGAATATTTCTATGAAGTGTTGTAATGAATAAAAACTTAATTTGGGACCAACAATTTTTTATCTGCCTGTACCAAACCCTTCAGAGTTAAGCCTAATACTCCTGCTACAGTTAACCCCTTAGTCTAGGATTTTATGTTGACGTCTTTAATCCACAATGTAGAAAGTTTTTTCCTCCCATTGATTGGTTTGAGGGCCACTTCAGCAAGGCTACTTTGATTCATTATAGTCAGAGGACTGAATCCATGCCTTAGTGATACAGGATACTAACTAACCAGCCATTACACTAATGGTGATGTAGGACTCAAGCTTTTATTATCAGGCAGTTTGCTGGTAGATTACATTCCTTCTCTGCACTTTTTGGTGTCAGTCATGGGCTTTAGTGTCGAATGCCTCACTAGCAACCTAAGACACAAAAGTTTAAAGATTGAATTTTCCAGGAGACAGCCACTGGCCAAAATTTACTGAAAGATAAAATGACAACCTCCTAAAGATGTCTAAAAGGTTTCTGGGGTCATACACAAAATGACAGCTCTGCAGCATTACTTTACTAAGCCTGGTCATAATGATATTTCTACAAAAAATAACTAGGTATGTTTACTTTTCCACAGCAACCAGCCAATTTATCAGGAGAAAGTGCATCAAGCAAAGGAGCCAGCAACTCAGGATAACAACTGAAATTAAAAACCTCATTACCACAAAGAAAAAAAAAATTCCCCAAATCTGTAGCCCACCAATAACAAACTGTGCACACTGCCGTTGTTATGACTGTTGACAGCTGCATGCTAGTAGCCGGCTACAGAACATAATGTGGACTGCTAGAGAGAATTCTGCTAGCTAATATATTCTGGAAATCTATGTTACACTGTTGACAATGGGGGTCCTGAACAGTGTCCGTTTTCAGACTGACTGTGGAATTGTGTCAACAAATCTTTCAGGGAGACCGCTGTGCTGGGACAAGATTCAGAAACTCTGGCCAATGCAGCACTGTGCAAAAAGTCAAACCTGGCTAGGTTCTTGCTGAAACACCATCCAAGAAAGCACTGCACCAGCCAATAAAACACATCCAAGCACACATTCCTGGTAGACTGACTTTGTAACATGAACAGTGCAGTTCTGCTGTCCACCTGGAGATTGTGGACATGGAGAATAAAGGGATTATTGGTGTAATAACCTTTCATTTGAAATATTTTAACATTTTGGCTCTTAGTATTAAAACTTATATACAGTATGAATCATGATGTTAAATTCAATACCTTTTAAGACCTTTTTCAAGACCTTTTCAATATATTTTAAGTCCTCAGCACCACTTTGCGTTATAACTAGTTGCTTCAGCAACACACCTTTATTAAAGTGTTTACTATAAATTGAAATTCCTTTGCTGGAATTCAGAGAGTGGTGTTTTAACATTGTGCTGAGACACCACACATTAAAACCACAGTACACAGTTTCTGCTTTGGATAAATTAGTCAGTTATCTACTTATTCCAGTTTGCATATTATAAACTGAGTGTCCAGTCCTAGGAAGTGAAATAATGTCAGCTAAACACTTTGCACTAAAATCATGGACATACGTGGCCAATGTCACAGCTTTTATGGGTTACTTCAGACCAAACTTAACACTTCCTCAAAAAAGCCAAAGTGTACTGGCTCCTAAAACCTTCTCAATAGAATAACATCTGAAGGAATAAAGAGGTAGCTGCCTATAACTACAGACAGATACTGGTTTAGGAGGATTTGGGGTCTTGTCCTGAATTAATGACATGAAAGAAGGAGGTCTGCAGGGAACTCAAGCAGTGTTTGATGCTTACTAGGTTTCAAATGTGCCACCTTAGTGTGAGAGGTTGTGCTATGTTCCTATGTCCAGGGGTTAGCAGGATCACGGCCATCAACACTCTAGCTAATGAACTGGCTGATATATGAAAAGATGATATTTTCTCCTGCAGAGGACACTGCCTCCAGCTGATGAACCTGAGGCTACCCCAGGGGAAGAAGCCGCTGGTAAGAGAAGGACCTGCTTCATCAGCACTTGGGCTCACACACACACACACATGTAGATAAATTGAGATCTTCCTGAAATGATAGCACAGGTTAAAATGGCGCTTAGGTTTGGCTGGATTGTTCGGTTTTCTTCTGGGTCACATAAAACAGGTGTGATTAGAGCTAAAGAACTGACTAATCAATAGCTGATCAACAGAAATTTAATCTAAAATTTAAGGTATTTTGATAATAAATTATTAGTCATTTTTCAGACGTACCAAACGAGCTTCTCAAATGAAGGGGTTTTCTGCTTTCCTTGTTTTACGTAATAAACTGAATATCTTTGGTTTTTTGTTTGAAAACATCACCTTGAGCTTCAGCAAATGTATTTTCTGACATTTTATCAGCTAAACAGTGAATCCAAAAATAATTTTAGTTGCAGCCACAGTCAGATTCAAACTGATTAGGATCAATAGCTGGTTCTTAAAAGTGTACTTACAGTCATGTGAAAAAATTAGCACACCCTTTGAAAGCATGTGTATTTTGTAACATGTTTTAATATATGGTTATTTAATCTCAATTTTAACAATACAGAGAGATTAAAGTAATACAACTAAACAAGTAAAACTGAAGAAAAGTCTTTTCAAGATCTTCTGTAAATGTAATTCTACAAAAATGCCTATTCCAACTGAGGAAAAAGTTAGCACACCCTAGCCCCTAATAGCTAGTGTTACCTCCTTTGGCTGAAATAACTGCAGTGAGACGGTTCTTGTAGCCATCTAATAGTCTCTGACATCGGTCTGAGGGAATTTTATCCCACTCCTCAATGCAGAATTGTTTCAGCTGTGAGATGTTTGAGGGGTTTCTTGCATGTACAGCCCTTTTCAAGTCACCCCACAGCATCTCAATGGGATTCAGGTCTGGACTTTGACTCGGCCATTCCAGGACTCTCCATTTCTTCTTTTTCAGCCAGTCTTTGGTTGATTTACTAGTATGTTTTGGGTCATTGTCATGTTGCATGGTCCAGTTCCGCTTCAGCTTTAATTTTCTAACCGATGGTCTCACATGTTCTTCAAGCACCTTCTGATACACAGTAGAATTCATGGTGGATTCTATGATGGTGAGCTGACCAGGTCCTGCTGCAGCAAAGCAGCCCCAAACCATGACACTTCCACCTCCATGCTTCACAGTTGGTATGAGGTTCTTTTCCTGGAATGCTATGTTTGGTTTACGCCAAACATGTCCTCTGCTCTGGTGTCCAAATAATTCAATTTTGGACTCATCTGTCCAAAGAACATTATTCCAGAAGTCCTGGTCTTTGTCAACATTCTCTCTGGCAAATGTCAGTCTGGCCTTGATGTTTCTCTTAGAGAGCAAAGGTTTCCTCCTTGCACGCCTCCCATGCAAGTTAAACTTGTGCAGTCTCTTTCTGATTGTAGAGGCATGCACTTCTACATCAACAGTAGCCAAAGCCTGCTGTAGGTCTCGAGATGACATTTTAGGGTTTTTGGAGACCTCTTTTAGCATCTTGCGGTCTGCTCTGGGGGTGAACTTGCTGGGGCGACCAGACCTGGGCATGTTGGCAGTTGTTTTGAAAGCCCTCCACTTGTAGACTATCTTCCGGACAGTGGAATGGCTGATTTCAAAATCTTTTGAGATCTTTTTAAATCCCTTACCAGACTCATAGGCTGCTACAATGTTTTTTCTGAAGGCCTCTGACAGCTCTTTTGCTCTCACCATGGTGCTCACTCTCACTTCAACAGTCAGGAGCACACCAAACTAAAGGTTGGAGGTGTAGATGGGGCAAGCCTCATTCAAAATGCTGAGTAACGATCTACTAATTATGTGCACCTGGTGTGATATACCTGTGTGTGATTTGAGCCATTTTAAGAGGGCATACATGTGAGGGTGTGCTAACTTTTTCCTCAGTTGGAATAGGCATTTTTGTAGAATTACATTTACAGAAGATCTTGAAAAGACTTTTCTTCAGTTTTACTTGTTTAGTTGTATTACTTTAATCTCTCTGTATTGTTAAAATTGAGATTAAATAACCATATATTAAAACATGTTACAAAATACACATGCTTTCAAAGGGTGTCCTAATTTTTTCACATGACTGTATGTGACTACAGCAAAGGCAGCGATGCTTTCCATCCTGCCTGCAACAGCGCTCTGCTCACATAAACATAAACAAAACCGTAGTTGGTTCATCTAAATGAGGCTTGATGTCTGTGTGGTGATTGTGTTGCAGACTTGCCCACCTGCCTGCTGTGTGTGTGTCTGACTGGTTCAGTGTACTGTGAAGACATCAGTCCAGACATGACCACCGTTCCCACACTCCCTAAAGAGACGGCCTACCTGTATGCCCGCTTCAACAAGATCAAAAAGATCAGCACCAAAGACTTTTCTGACTTTTGTGAGTCTGAAAACTTTGTCCGTCACAACCTGTTGACTGTTCAACCAACTGTGACCATGGACATGCTGTCCAAGACTTGAAATTTGTCATTTGTCTGATTCACCTCAGTTTAATCCAACTAAATTGGGCAGATCAAACAATCAAATGAGGGAACTGGGATTTACCAAGTGAGGCTTCCAAAATGGCTACAACTTTAAAAACAAATGTTTCTCATCTGTCAACAGTGACTCTGAAGAGGATTGACCTGACCGGGAACCTGATCTCAGAAATTGAAGATGGGGCGTTCTCACAGCTAACCCTGCTGGAGGAATTGTCTCTAGCTGAGAACAGACTGGTCAAACTTCCAACACTCCCCACCAAACTCACATCCTTCAACGCCAACCACAACTTCCTCAAAACTAGCGGTGTCAAAACTAATGCTTTCAAGGTGCACATCATCACCTTTCCCGAACTTTTCAGTCAGGAAGGTCTGGGGCAAATCAAGACATTTATTAAAAATGACCATAACTATCTATTAGCACATTATCTGAAGAGATGAGAACAATAACAACAATAATAAAAGCCTCAGTTAAACAGCCAAACTTAGAGCAAACCACGTGAGCTCTGTTAATCAATGTAATGTTGAGGATGAAGACAGGTTGTCTGAAACTTGTATTGTGTCCTTTATATCCCCTCCCTGCGCAAATATTACACAATATACAGGACACTATGAACATATTAGATAGATTCATTAGAGGAATGCTTAGATGGATGCGGTATTTTCTTACTGTACACCTTTCAGACATTTACATGTTCAGTAGCTTGTGGTTATAGGCCGAGTTACATGTTGGGTTCTTTATGCCAAGTGCAGCTAATTACATCCTAAGTCCATCTCCATACTTAACGTATGCAAGAGAGGTTGATGTCAATGTTGTCATCTCACACTCAGAAAGAAAAAAAAAAAAGCATTTTCTCAAAATGTTAAATCCATATAACTGATAGTCACTTCTTTAATAGTCTCAAATTATCTATATGTAGATTATAGTGAGTATATATTTGCAAATACAATTTCATCTTTAAGCGACAAAACCACTAAAACAACTGGATCTCCACTGTGTGGTTATTTCCCCAACAGAAACTGACCAAGCTACTCAAACTGTACCTGGCCAATAACCAGCTACAAGCTATTCCACACATCCCAGAGAGCGTTCGGATCTTACATCTACAGGTCTGTATCTTTTGCTGCAAATATATACACACATTGCTGTACAAGGTGTGTTCTAGATTTAATTTATATCCATTCATATGTATTAATTTTCTGCTAAAAGATTTAAATCAAGATTACAGGGCATTTGTACCCGATTCTGTGGATTTTTTTTTTTTTTTACTCTGCCAATTAAGATTTTTCATTTTCCTTTTCTCCCAGAACAACAACATCACTGTGGTCAGCAAAGACTCCTTCTGCAGGTCCAATGACACCTACTACCTACGACTAAGCCTCAGTGAGGTCCGTATGGACGCCAACCCCGTGATACTGTCCAAGCACCCTGATAGCTTCACCTGTCTTAAGGCCCTCCCTGTCGGACAGTACCGCTGAGGATGCAGAAACTTTACTGCATCCCCTTTGTCGCTGACGAAGCAGTTTTCCCACAACACAGTGCTGAGAAGGAAATCAGGACATTCTGGAATTTAGGGCACTGGTCCCATAGTGGGGATAAAGGTGTCAGTGTTTTTACTTCAGCAAACCTACAAACAGCTTGTGACACTGTCAGGTTGAAATGAAACCAGTCTCTGTAGTGAAGGTGTAAAGTTGAAGGAGTTTCTCTACTCTGGCCTTCATCAGTTCTACTGTCTGGGGGAGGAGTAGACCTGTGTTTGCAGAAGATGCACCAGAGTTATTCAGATTCAGTCACATAAATTGGTGTTAATATGCTTCAAATTATCTGTGTGCCCACATCCTGGTTCAAAGACGCCACAGGTGAGGTGTCTTCTGAATGTCTTTTCCACAGATGATGCAGAATTGGTGCAATCCCTTGAATGAGTGGAGAAGCGTCAACACCTCTACATCAACAGTCCAGTTTGTTTCATTTTGACCTGACACTGTACTACCTGGATGAAACTGCTTGACAAACTGAACCAACACACACCTGCAGCCACAAGTCAAGCGGCTTGCTTGTAACTACTTGTACCTATTAGTTTAAATAACAACAAGCTAATGTTTTCACATTCTTTGTGAAATCAATTTTATAACACAAGCTTTTTGTTACTATAAGTAACTAAGTAAAAGAAAAAATAATTATCGAATAAATTCCAATTACTACGTTATAGTCATCTTTGCTGCTTTTGCTGAGCTAAATAAGTATCTTGTACAGTGTAAAATTTCTCATTCCAAGGTTTTTCATTAAATTAAAAACAATGTTTCAGAATAGCACACCAAGTAAAATATATTGAAAAGGCGATGATCATGGACCCAGTTGTTTTTCTAGCCTTTCATCTTACTCGCTGTGGGTCAACTGGCATTTGGACAGTCACCACTGAAAAAACACTACATGGCTCACTCCATTACTTATGCTTCTCCAAAAGGACAATGGCCATGTTGTCTTGTCTGGTGCTTCACGACTTAACTTCACTGTTTTAATTTATGGACCTGGGGAACAATGTATCTATGAACTATAGTAATGTGAAGATTACTCCTCTCATTTTTGTCTGCTTTTAAAATGTCTTGCTTAAGTCCCTAACTCTTCCCTTCCAATAATAAAAATTTATTTAGAAATTATTACTGATGTGAATATGACAGTGGTGTACAGGAAGGTATGTGTGTAACATGGCTATGTTAAGATATTTTAATAAAGTTAAACTTTTTTTTTAATTAAAATGTATTTGGAATTCTTGGAGTCTCCTTCACATACAAGAAGTGTTTTAAATAGACTAAAGTATAGGTACTAGCAAAATAAAAAACAGAACTATACTTCCCACAGGGGGGTTTGGCGGTGGTTAGAGCAGTCCCTTCTTGGGTATATATGGCACAGATTATGATTTATATTTCTGCTTCAGATATGACCTGTGGATAGCACAACAACAGAAAGGATGCTTTGTACACGATCAGGGCGCTCTTCC